CAGGGCGAGTGGTTTCCCTCCTGGCAGCCTCTGGAGTTTCTTCTGTCCTGGAGCTACTGACACTCGTGTGAGGCCCGGGCCGCTCTGCAGTGTCCTGCCAACAAACACTCCCCTCTGACCTGCAGGTGAGAGTCAGTCATGAAATCCGCTGCGGTGAATTCATCTTCGTTTTGCTCCTCCTCTGTCTTTCACGGGAGGGCAGGGTCTGTGAGGGTGCAGCTGAGCGGAGGGAGAAGGGAGCTCGTTCGCAGACGTGTGGGAATTAACCTCAAACACCCAGGCACTGCATGAGCTGCTGGAGCAGTGCGGGGAGTGGGAGGGGAGGAAAAAAGAGGAAAAAAAAAAGGGCCAGGATGACCTCATCTGAGCCGGAGGCGTTCCTGAGACTCTGCCAGCTCACAGCCAACCGGAGCTGAATGGAAATTACAGGGAGCTCGTTACATCAGCAAAGCCCAGCATACCCCAGCCTTTCCCCATACTGTCCTCAGCTGCGTGGGGAGCGTCCCAGCTGGGAGAGGGGCTCACCTCCCTTTGGCTGCAGCAGGACAAGGCCACAGAGCAGCAGGCTGGTAAATGACTTGTCACACAGCATGAAGGAAAGTGAGTACACCTCCTGCACAGCCAAATGCCAACCGGAAAAAGTCAGGCTTAAAACTTTTCCTCCAGCCAGTGCCAAAAGAGAACCAGAACTGCTTTGCCCTAACAGTATGCATCTGCATTTTGAAAGAGCAAAGCCACAGCTCAGACCTGGGCATGACAGAATACGATGTGGCAGGGACTCCAACACAATAATTTCATCCAGGCTGTCATTCCATGGGTGGGCTAGGCAATTCCACGCACACAGGACAGGGCTGGGCCAACACCCTGACCACCCCCCACAGCCACCTCCTGTTAGTGCCACTACCCATTACTGCTGGGTCAGCAGCCTGGGCCTGCAGAAGCAGTTTGTGCAGGTGGGAAATGGTGCCACCTCCTCTTCCCCACCATCTCAGAGTCCAGATACTGCTCAGAGAACAGACTGAGCCCCCATCATAATTTTAAAGCTTGGAACAATGAAAAACTCCCTCTGCAAGGCACTAAGCACCATCATTCATGCCCTAGTTTTAAAACAAAATTCCCACTGAACCCCACAGAGCTCCTGAGGAACTGTCAAAATACCCTGAGACTGTCACTTCTGGGTATGTGTCCTGCTTTGATGATGTTTTAAGAAGACTTAAAAGGAGAGGGAATAGCTGATATTTGACCAACTGATGTAACTGGAAAAGAAAAGCACCACAGAAGCTCTTCCCACACTTGCCCACATGCTTACTTGCTCAATTAACTCAAATCTCTTTTGTGCCCAGAGTTCACTAAAATAAATTACGAGACTTAAACCAGATCCACTTTCCAGGGACAGGTATCTATAAATACCTAGGATTTGGGAAAGGTGATATGCAGCCACGAACTTGGATATTTGTACTGCAAATATTTCTAAAATAAACAGCTAGGGCATGATTATAAGGTATACATTAAGGAGAAAATTCCACTTCTAAATTTTAGAAATAGAAGAAGGAAAAGAGTTAAAACAAAATGCTTTTCTTTAAACTTCTTACTTCATAGACAGAAGCCAGTCTAAATGTGCATTTGTTATTTAAAGGACTTTAGCTGTAGGAGAATCAGTAAATGTCACTTGCACATCAAGACCTGGATTCACTCCCCCTAAGTTGGAAGGTAACTGCAAGAGCTACATTACAAATGTCATTGTTCCACACTCCCTTTCCTTCCCTTTCATGGAAAGAAGTTGTTCCACACGGTGACTTAGCCTCATCAATGTTCCAGTGATCCTCTGAAAGTTCCTTTTTTCTACCCCATTCTATATTAGGCAACTTGCTCTAACTCTAGATAGAAGGGATCAGTCTGAATACAAACGTCTTAATATCAATATAAGATGTTTAACAGTTACATTAACCCTTTACAAGACTTTGTTTGCTCTGGGCTGTGCTGAAGTGTTTCACCAACAGGTCAGGCTGATACCAGCCAAGAAATTAAACTGTTCCATTTCAGATGTGTTAGTACAATCCTGCGGGTAGCCCCACTGCCAAATGGAACCAGAGTCCAAGTCTTGCCCTTGCCATTACAATTTAAATGTATTGCCAATACAGAGGAAAAGGGAGATTTTCCTTACTGCTGGTTAGAGCAGCTGGAACTAGAGCTTTGGGATCTGTTTCGATTTCTTCTTTTAACCACTTATGCTACTTGTAGGACCTCACAAAAACGCATTTTTCCCATACCTTATGCCTAAAGCTAGACAAACTTTCATTCACATTTAAGTAGCCTGTTGCAAGGCCTGATTTTCTCAGATTCTTCACATCTTTAGCAGTTCCTGCAAAGGGACTCATACTCATGTTTAACTGTGGTCATCCACACTTACCATTCATGGCATAAGAGGTGAAGTGAAAAGGGTTAAAAGGAAAAAAAATTCTATCATCCAATATGGATTAGAAAGCTAATAATTGGGTAAAAACCACAGTAATTACCTGGTACACCAACCAAGGCAATAGCTGAGAGTTTCAGCCACCTCCTCCAGGTTCCAGTCACAAAAGTGGCAGTGCTGAGCACTGTAAACAGTGCTGTGACATTCCACTGGGGACAAGAACAAAAGAACAGCAGTGCAAGAGAAAACTAATGGAGGTATTAGAGATGGTGGTCGTATCTTAGGGTCTGTTGCTATTCAGGAATTCTAGTTTAAATTAACACCTTTCCTTATTTTACACTCATGCACTTTCAAAGGCTCCTTAGCAACCCAGCAGACAATAGGGCTTTCAAGCAGAGGGCTGCCTGGTAATGGTCTTGCCTCCACATCAGGTACACCACCTCTGCCATGGCCATTATACTTTTTGACAACTTGTTATTTTGGACTGTATATAGTGCTTTTGCCCACGTCAAGTTGTCATTATTATCCCATTCTCAGTACATTACCCAAGACTACCTTTTTAAAGGAAGCATAAAATGGCCTTTTAAAAACTAGAGAGTATTTTTTCAGATCCCTCAGAATGGTGGAGGGCATTTGAGAACATAAAGAGATTTGCATTGCCTTTCCTCCATCTACAACAATAAGTCATGTCCTGGGTAGGTGCTGGAGCTTTGTACCTTTATTCCTGGAACGTAATGATCTTTAAGGTCCCTTCCAACCATAACCATTCTATGATTCTACAAATGTTGCAGGAAGCATTTTGATTGAAAGAGTTTTCTCACTTGTACATGAGACACTTGCATATACCAAGTAGCTGACTGATTCTGGTCTGACTTGAGTATGGGATATAAGAAAAGCAGCACAGAATGCCATCAGTGGCAGAGAGCTTGTGCTTTCCCTCAGTAAGGCAAGATGTGAAACGTTTAACTTCACATTGCACTACAAAGAAAAGAACAATAGCCAAACTAGATTATTTCAACCATTTAAGATATTTTATCCAAGACTATCAGGATCTGTAGATGAAAGCAAGGTGCATGTTATAGCTGGGGAAAACAAAGTTGACATTTGCAATGAATTCCTTATTGAGTCACTTTTGATTTTGCTCTTTGTCTCCCTACACTTCCCAACTTTTGCATATTATGTTGTGTGTCAAGGAGCAACAAAGGCTGACAGCTCCCAAAGGGATCAGAACCTGCGTGCAGTAACAGGGCTGGCAGGGCAGAGACTTCACTACCCAGGGCCTCATCCCACAGGCCAAGGGAAAGGCATGCAAGATAGGCTTGGAGATGGCCACCACATTCAGCCAAGAGTCCAGATCATCAGGCAAGTTCATAGGGATAAGGCACAATCAAAGTCAAGCCAGGATGTCAGCTCATGCATCAGGCCCAGCAGGGCAGGGCTGAAAATCAGCATCCTACCATGTCATTGGGGTGGGGACCTATGGCCCTAAGCTGGGCTAAAATGGTGCTCCTGGGCCATGGACAGGCCCCAGGCAAGTCTAGGACTCCTATCACC